GGCAAAACATCGATACCTGGCTTGCTCGCTCATTTCAATAGTGTTCTGCCTATGGGCCCGATGATAATATACAACGTGCCAGCAAGGACGGGTCAGGACATTCCTCCTAGTGTCATCCAAACCTTGGCTACAAGCCTGAACTTTGTCGGCATTAAGGAATGTGTTGGATATGATCGTGTTGCGCAGTATGCAGAGGAGGGGATCACGGTTTGGTGCGGGATGGATGATCAATGCCATGATGGTAGGTGGGATTTCGGGGCTATGGGAGCGATGTCAGTCGCTAGCAATTTGATTCCCGGCTTGATGCGGGAATTGGTTGCAGGGAAGAAGAGTCCTTCATTGAATTGAAAGGTCATGCCTTTGATCGAATGGCTCTTCCACGAGCCAAATCCAATTGGTTTGAACACTGCTCTGGCTCAACTCGGGGTGGTCCGGCCAGTTTTCAGGCTCCCTTACGTGCCCCTTCCTGAGTCGAAGAGGCTAGAGTTCGTGGGCTTGGTGAAGGACATTGGAAGAGAGCATTTTGTGGGAGATGGAGAAGTTCAGGTGCTCGAAGACGACAACTTCATCTCGGTGGGAAGGTATTGATACTGGTCATCTTCATTCCAGAAGACATCCTACATGTTTCATTTTGCCTCCTCAGATCTACCATGTTGTTCAGTGACGAAATTAGCTGGAACAAGAATTAAGGTGTGTCACTTTGAAATTATGAAGCATTATGCATGTAACTGTCAACATGATTTGTGTTCTTTTTCTTGTCCGTCATACTTCTTAATTCTGCTTGTCTAACAAGTAACATCTCGGAGGTGCGAGTACTTTGCGACCGACTTCTTTTATCAGCACATTGGAACTGGCGAAAGGAATTTCTAATCACACCCGGAGTGCCTAATACATCCATCGATTAAGTCGAGATTTCTGAAACAAGGAGAAGAAAAAGAGAGCACAGGAAATCGCCGAACAACCGAGACATTTAACTGCCGGAGAACTATGAGAGATTACTCGAACGTATTAGAGGCAGTTTCTTCCTTTTCAGGATAGTTGCCGAAATAGGCAATCCGACGAAGGACCAAGTATAACTACAAAGGTATCATGCTTCATCGAGTTGTTCCGATGACATTTGACAGAAGCATTTTTAACTCATGGATGCGAGTCGCGCTTGGATAAAAGAGCCCTGAAAACATAGCCACCAATTTAAACACAATGTCACCTGGAGAATCACAAGCTTTGGTTATCTTGATTCGCCAGGAAATCAGAAGACAGTATGAAGTACAGACCATCTCTTTTTGAAAGGCGAAGTTCCTGCAATAAACTGCAAACCCTTCGTTCGAGCGGATCGCACCCTTCTTTTCATATACGATCTTCCAACTTCGCGGCCCGAACACTATGAACAGAAGGATCCCACTGGAAATGACATGAGCACATTACAAACTACATTCATGCTTCAGTTTTTTTTTACAAAAGGTAGCTTTGAGTGAAACGCTGAGCTCATCAGTAGTAGGCTCTGTTTTGCTTAGATCCTGCTGATCCGAGGTAAAAACGAACTTCCTGTTTGATGTGTATGATAGTTTTAGCTCATGTAATTCCTCAATCCTCACCTCTTTTTCTGTAATAATTTTCTACTTTTCCGGAATCAGAAGCGACAGAATATGAAGAGATAGAGATGTTTTTGCCTTCAGCATTGGCTTTCTGAGTTATCTCAAGTAGAATCCTCCCAGTATTCACACATGTTGCCAAGATCTTCGGCATTGTCACGGAATTGCAAAGTCACCATCATCTGCTCGACCACTTCACTGGATCGGGTTTAATGCTGGATTTTATGGTACGATCGTAATACGGGTGGACAACAAAATCCGAAAAATTTCACGTATCGTTCTAGATCTTAGGCAAGTGCTATGCGCGTGCACACTCATTTTCGTTCTCTTGATAAGACTGAGCGGATTTGATGAACGATTATTCGAGTGATGATTCTATATTTATCTTAGAAAGGAAGTTACTTGAGCAACAAAACTTGCTACTTTGTAGGAGTGAAGAGAGAAGTGGGTCATAAATGGAGAGTGAAACATTTGCTTCTGCAATCTTGAGAGGGGACAGTTGCCATATATTTCCCATTCCACCATTGATATCTTGCTTGATTTTAATACTTGAAGGCTCATGGTCGTTTTTCAAATTAGACGCCGAGAGTGCGTTTGTTTTGCAGAAAATAAATGATTTGGAAAATATTTTTCCGAAAATGATTGTATCGATCACAAAATTGAATGAACGAGAAATATTTTCACCGTCAACGAAAATGTTTAGACTTGAATTGTTGTGATAATGGAAATATCTTTCATTGACTAATTATTTCAAACGATACAAGCGATTATTTTTAAGAAAATTTTTTTCAAATCATTCATTTTCCGCGAAATAAACGGAACCCAATTTTGAAAATTGGCTTTTATATATAGTATGGATAGATAGACTGTCTAGAGTTGAGACCTTTGGCACGAAACTCGTTTGATAAAAGTGAAAAACAAAGACACTGAAAATTTAAGTACTAAGTTCAAGCGCCGAAGGCTTTAATTAATCAAAAGCTGAGATGAAAAGTTGTTTGATAATACATAAAACTTAATTAATAATCTTATTATCTTCTTAGCAAACATGGAGTAATGAGAATTATTGAAAGGTTATGACACTATATATTTGTTAATATTTTAATTTCTGTTAAACATTTTATCATGTAGTCAATTAAGTAAGTTATGTGTAATTTTAAAAAAATCAACTATCTTATGTGCAATTAGAGGTTACTAAGAAATGAACTTAATGAAGTTAAGTGCTGAAAGTTTACTTTTCCATAAACACATCGTAAGCCTTCGAAAGAAATCCATGTATGGCGTGTGACGTCATCAACAAAGCTCACATCGCGACGATAGAATCGGAGAGAAGTTAGCTAGGGAAATTATTAGAATAAATACAAATTGTCGAAAAGACATTATTGTCATCATGATAGAGATAATTTTTAGAGTGTAACGCAAACAATCATGTAAAGTTCGGTGTGACATTTTGCCTAAGTTACGTCCCCACTAAAATTTGACCCTAGCTACCTTGCCCTGCTAGGGTAATTTTTATTTTTTCATGTTTTTAGTGGTTTAGATTCGAATAAGGGATGATGACACAAACGGTTCTTGAACTTTAGCTCAATGTGCAATTTGGTCCATGAACTTTTAATTTGTTTAATATAGTCCCCGAACTTTAGCTTAATGTTCAATTTGGTTCCTCAACTTTTAATTTATTCAATGTGGTCCATGGACTTTTGATACATGTTCAATTTAATCCTTGAACTATATGAAAATGTTCAGTATAGTCCTTGAACTTAAATTAATGGAAGGACTACATTGAATATTTTCATATAGTTCAGGGACTAAATTGAACATGTATCAAAAGTTCAGGGACCACATTGCACATTAAGTTAAAGTTCAGGGACTGCATTGAACAAATTAAAAGTTTAGGGACCATATTGCACATTGGGTCAAAGTTCAGGAACTGTTTGTGTCATTTTCTCTTTGAATAATCCTACCGATACTAGGATTGATACCAACTTCAAGTAAATAGAAATTTTTTGCTTTCTCTTCAAAATTTAAAACATTATCCAGAATTTCAAAAAGTTACGAAAAAATTATGTATGAATCTACATGTGAACATTGGTTTATAAGTGAAAGTTTCAAGTGTTTAGAATTAAAAAAGTCAAAGTGCAATGTTGCAAGATTTATATTAAGCCAAATGTAAAAACGTAAAAGTCTAACCAGACACGGTCTTGACTAGAAAAGAACGTGATAATAAGAATTTACGCTTTACGTGTTGAATCATCTTAGAAAATCAAACGTCTAAACATTTCTAGCATTGCATTGACTCGGACGCGGTTCCTATTTCTGTCCAATGTTTTTCTTGCACCAAACGAAGTTTGTATTATTCTTTTTCTTGTCTAGCTAGACATCAAACAAATGGTTCGACATGATCTAAACGGTTCATGCGAAGTGGGTTAATAAGGACCGGAGTACCTAATGATTTGAGACTCAATGACTCTTCCACCCGCGGATTCCAGAAGTCTAATATATGAAGTTGGTGAACTTTCCCCGGTATTAATTAAAATAACGACAAATTGTGTCAAAAATTTCGCATTAAAATTGTTGGAATAAGTTCACCGAAAGTCTCAAATTTTGTACACAGTGTGGAGGGCAAAAGCCATAAAAAATCATAAACTGTGCCCACTATGATATATTTACCATAAAATTTTTTCTATGACACAAGAAATCCCAAATTTGTACTTGTGTTGACACAATTACCCTCTGTCAAAGTTCTGTCAATGAAAACCGTTAAAAAATCTATCTACATGGATGCCAAAAAGCAAATAATGTTGCCATGGCGCCGAAGCGCCGCTGAAAAATCGTTCAACGAAACTTTGACGGAGGGTAAATGTGTCACATAGGTACAAGATTGTGGTTTTTTAAGTCACAATTTTTTTTAGGGTAAGTATGTTGTAGTGGGCATAGTTTGGGGTTTTAGATGTCGCAAAAAGAAAGTTCAAGGTAAATGTCTTACGGTAGGCATAATTTGAGGTTTTTTCTATGGCATTTCCCTTTAATTTAAACATCGTAATTCGTACAATCAAGTCTCAAGCCTTTTTTTTTTTCTATAGAAATGTAATCAAGTCCTTTTGATGAATAACCTACACAATCATCTACATGGCGGTACTGAAATTTTGCATACATGACAACCTGAAATTGCCATTTTCAATACACGTTTCAGTGCAGTTAAGAAATTAATTGCTTAAGTTGGAAAATTTCACAATTTCGTCACTCTTTTAATCAAGGTTTACGACTTAATTGCACCAATTGAAATATTTGGAGCCCAATCATATTTAATTAATAAAACTCAGGACCTTTAGCCTAAAGTTTCCCCAAAATTGTCTTTACCATATGACTCTTTCGCTTCCATACGTCATCATCTCAGTTGCTTCACGTTGACCTCAACTCCATAGCTATTCATCAAAGCCATAAAATGCAGCTGCAGTTGGTAATGGATTTCTACAGACATAAATACACTCCTCACGTACAAATTACCACATTCTCTCCTGCCTATTGCTTCTAAAGATGGCTCAGCTGAAGTGCCATGGCATGTGCATGAGAGGGTCATCATCGGAGCTCCGGTTACCGAGCAATGATGGCAAGAGGTTCTTCATCCCCGTGCTTTCCCTCGACCAATTTCAATCGATTATCTTGTTCGATATATCATTACTTTCAAGTTTCAACAAGTATGTGTGTATGTATGTTTGTATGTGTTATGGACACGTGCGTGAGAGCGCATGTAAGAACGTGAATCGTTTCGGGTGCTAGGGATGAAGTGTAGTAGTGAGTCAGATGAACGATTCATGGGCAAAACACAAAGATATGGGAGGCACTGTTTTGGCCTCGAGTCAAGCACTATCATTGAGTGCTCATGAAAAGATTGAATTGTTTATAGTGATTGTTTGCTCAGCAATTATCTTTTCGAATCTGGCGAGCTCAGGATGAATTATTTTCGACCTTTACCTGCATCAAAAACAAGATCTGGTTGGTGTAGCTTGTTAAGAAAGCTAGAGTTTGTCAAATATTCTTGCTACTTCTCTACCATCTGTTTCAACTTCTTATATGTTTCTTTTCTTTTGTGTGTGCGCGCTTGCTATGATTCTGGAACGGAAGGAACGCGAATTGGAGGCCTCGAAAGGCGACTGTGATCCCTAATTTCTGCGTCCCTGTGCGAAGCCATGAAATCCAAAACAGGTGATCCATATAAAATGTGTGCACGGCCGGACATATTGCAAAATCCTACCTTATAGATGTTACAGCCGCCTCGACACCGTGTTCTAATAAAGTTCTATGACACAAATTCTATCATGACAAACTGAGATGATTGTCAATTTTGTTTCTATGCCCCGCTGCTGCACGTGATGAATATGTACTCAACAAGCAGTTGGCCGTGCAATGATTTGTCACGTTGCTAATCCAGGACTCCGGTCGAGGATATCAGATCGCTCCGGCTGATCACAGGCATCAAAACCCCATACCAACACGATGGCAGATTGGACCTCAAAGCCTATGATGCCCTGATCGATATGCAGATCGCACAGGGTGTGGAAGGAGTCATCGTCGGAGGCACAGCTGGGGAAGGCCATTTGATGAGCTGGGACGAGCACATCACACTCATTGGACACACCGTCGCTCACTTTGGCGCTTCGCTCAAGGTGATTGGCAACACCGGAAGTAACTCCACCGGTGAAGCAATGCAGGCCACTGAGCAGGGCTTTGCTGTTGGAATGCATGCTTCCCTTCACATCAATCCTTACTATGGCAAAACATCGATACCTGGCTTGCTCGCTCACTTCAATAGTGTTTTGCCCATGGGCCCGATGATAATATACAACATGCCATCAAGGTCGGGTCAGGACATTCCGCCTAGTGTCATCCAAACCTTGGCTGCAAGTCCGAACTTTGTCGGCGTTAAGGAATGTGTTGGATATGATCGTGTTAGGCAGTATGCAGAGGAAGGGAAAACCGTTTGGTGCGGGATGGATCATGAATGCCATGATGCTAGGTGGGATTTGGGCGCCACAGGAGCGATGTCGGTCGCTAGCAATTTGATTCCTGGCTTGATGCGGGAATTGGTCGTGGGGAAGAAGAGTCCTTCGTTGAACAAAAAGCTAATGCCTTTGATCGAATGGCTCTTCCACGAGCCGGCCCCGATTGGACTGAACACTGCTCTGGCTCAACTCGGGGTGGTCCGGCCGGTTTTCAGGCTCCCTTATGTGCCGCTTCCTCTATCGAAGAGGCAAGAATTTGTGGGATTGGTGAAGGACATTGGAAGAGAGCATTTCGTGGGAAAAAGAGAAGTTCATGTACTTGACGACGATGACTTCATCTTGGTCGGAAGATATTGATAGTGGTCGTGTTCCTTCCAAAAAGACATCCTTCATGTTTCATCTTGCTTCCTCAGATTTACCATGTTGTTCAGCGACGAAATAACCTGGAACAAGAATCAAGGTGTATCACTTTGAAATTAAGAAGCATTGCACGTATAGCTATTTACATGATTCGTGCTCTTGTTCTTTTCCGGCAAACTTCATTTTGTAGATACTATCTAGGCCGTATGCGATATGCTTATCGGAATACCACAAAAACTAGGAGGAGAAAAGAGGACACAGAAAATCGCTGCACGAGCCGAGACACGTAACTATTGGAGAACTACAAGAGATTACTCGAATGTATTAGCGGCAAAATCTTCCTTCTCATGAAAGTTGCCGAAATAGGCGATCCTACAAAAAACCAAGAATAACTAGAAAGGCTTCATCAAGTTGTTCCCATGCCAATCGACAGAAGCATTTTTAATCACATGAATGCAAGTCGCGCTTGGATAAAGAACATAGATACCATAAGACACCAATTTAAAGCCAATGTCACCAAGAGAACCTGAGGAATCCACAAGCTTTGGTTTTCTTGATTCGCAAGGCCATCAGCAGATAGTATGAAGTAAAGACCATGTCAATCGAAAAGCAGAATTCCTGCGATAAACTGCAAACCCTTCATTCGAAAGGATCGCACCCTTCTTTTCGTCTATGACCTTCCAAGTTCGTGGCACAAACACTATGAATAGAAGGATCCCACGGGAAACGTCATGAGCAAATTATAACTTCTATACATAAATTAGTTATTTACAAAGGGATGAGATTGCGATTCCGGAGAACAAGGAGGAGGGGCAAAAATGTAGATCCTTTCAGTGTCAAAAATCTATAAAGACCTGATTCAGATACCGCATACAAAATTTCTAGCCGAGTGAGTCTTCTTGGGTATCTTCATCATCATCCATCGGATCATCCAAATTTCGACCCTCGTCAGCTCTATTGCTCTCTTCGGTCTCCGTATCTGAGCTCGACTGGCCTCGGGCACTGCCATTGGCATGATCACTCTCCGTATAATCCTCTGTATCAGAGCCTGAAACAGCACCCTGGTTTTCTCTCCCCTCAGAGCGATCCCTATTCATTGCACCAGCAAACTTCTCCTTCAGATCAGGGGCAACAATCCCAATCATCTCAGTCAAAGCACGCCGTTCTTGATTCAGTCTAGCCACAGCTGCATCAGATGATGGAGTACTTTGACTCTCGGCAACAAGGCCATTGGAATTGGGTAAAGGTGCCGCACCATCCTCATTCTCAACTCTAATTCCAGGAGATTCATTCTCTCCATGGACAGAAGGAGCAGTGCTACAAGCCCAACTCCCAACAACTTCGGAAGCTAAGAGGTCTGCTGTCCCGATCGTGCCCAGAGTTTCCGCTTCGATATCTTGCGTAGCTTTTAAGGTGTCAGGAGCATTGTTCGATTCGTTATGCTGTAGAGTTTCCTGTTCCTGACTAAGTGTTTGAGCTTGATCAGCAGTTTCTTGCACATTTGATCCTTCATCAAGTTGCATTGTGTCTCCGGCCAAAATACCAACTCTATTCAGATCGATTTTTTGCCTACCATCAATTCCAGGGCTCTCAGTCTCGAGAACTTGCTGAGTGTCAACAAGATCTCCCTCCATAACTGGTTCCGTTCCAAGACCATCAATCTCAGAGCCAAATCCACCTTTAACATTCTGACCAGCACTGGTGAAATCAGCCTCTTGTGTATTTTGAGTGTTTTCTTGGCTTCTGATATCACATTCATGTTTCTCGGTGACACTGTCGTCATCTGTAGAAGCAACAACATAATCACTGTTGCATCTCTGTGCTGAGGGAGCTGACTTTTCCTTGGCATCATTGTTACCGCGATTGCTGTTCTCCTCTTTCCTTCCGTCCACGGCACCATCAATGTTCCCATCAGCTACATTGAGGTCAATATCAAGTGAAGTGTTTTCATAATTCTCCTCATCCTCCAGGGTCCTCTGCATAGCTTTCAATTGTTCCTGCTGCTTTGAGAATAACACCATGATTTCTTCAGTTGTGGAATAAAATGCCCGTAACTGAGTCTCCCTGCATGACCAATGGATCCCCCAAAAATCATGAAGCAGCAAAGTAAACTTCAATGTCATGTGCCAAGATTACAGTGGCAAATGTCAAATATTGCAAAATGTCAATGACTTTGAAAATCTCACCGCAGCATCACTCTTTCCCGGGCGCCTTTCAACCGTCTCCTCTCAAAATCAAGATCACGGATTGCAGAACTAATCTCAAGCTCAAGTTTTGAAACTTTTGCCCATGCTTCTTCTCGAGCAGCCTGCTACCAAGACCAAGGAATGCCTCAGCTCAGATGAACTTAAAGGCGATAAATTCCCAAATTTCCAATTCAACATGCACATTTCGATAAGAACAAGAAAGCAAATATCAATCTAGCCAATCTTTTGGCGCAGAGAACTATATGACTACCTGTCCTCCCTCAAACCATGTACTTGAGGAGGATGTAGTCGATGTCCAAACAAGGAGAAATCTCAAATAAACAAAAGACAACAGTCCACAGTAAGATATGTTGGCTTCTTTTCAGATTAACAAATCTGGCAAAATATAGTAGGTGCCATCTATCCTCATCCAAAGATCAATTGAAGGAAGCATGCTGGCAGCTACACAAACCAGCGAGAGTAAATCCCTTTGCTGCCGTTTGACTAATTTCAACACTTCAAGGAAAAAGCTTGTTCCCTAATAGATCTCCCCTAGATCAGATAAAAGAAGCCTGAACTTAGTTTCAACTCTTTTAGTGCTTTTTCAAGGGAGCCAGCAGTTACAATCCACACTGAAAATGCAGTCCAATTCCCCAACGAAATGGTAGGCCCTACAATAAATACGCCATCCCAAGAGAAGAATTTTCTTACCGAATTACTTTACGGAAGTTGTCTTCAGACATTGATAAAATGAGAAAAATTATGCATAACTATGCTTGCAAGAAAACTCATTTGGTTAATGTTTCTTATGTTCTACCTGGCCCTCAATTAGAGAGCCTTCCAAACTGTTGCACAAGAGTGTTCGTAAAGGCACAACCCATCTTTGGTCAAGAGGTAATGGACTATGTTAAGAGAGGAAGTTGCACTTCGCACTCATTGGCAAGATAATAAGGAGGGAATAGTAAAGAGTGAAAATTCATACCTTCTCACTTTCAAGCTCTTTTCTCAATGTTCTGAGCTCAAGTTCAAGTTCTTCTACTCTCTGCCCCAACATGTGGCAGTAAGACAAGACAAATTAGATGCGTTGGAACTTGCATAAGTGTGCACCAACAAATTAGAAGTGGAAGATCATTTGTGGTATATGCTGAAACATCTTACTTTTCTTTTATCTGCACAGGCTTCCTGTTCTTCACGATGTTGAGCTTCTAACTGCCGTACCTTATTGTCAGAGATGACCAGGTTTTGCCTCGTATCCTCCTGTGGCAAAATCTTCATTAGCACTTCTTCTGATCAATCATCTTAATTCCCACCCAACACCGAAAATATAATGAATCAAGTGAACCTAAGAAAAAGCGAATGCAGAAGTACCAATTTGATCCTCAAAGTATCCAGTAATGAGCACCTTTCTCTCTCTGTATCCTGAGGATCCAGTAAGAATCAATCAGATGCTCAAATCTCTCTCATATTCTTCCCAGATAAACATCGCAAACTTGAAGTTCATAATTTAGTATTCCAAACCTGGAGCTTATTTATTAATTCTTGCTGCTCTTGCTCTCGTTTTGAGGCAGCATCCGAAAACCGCCTTAGCTCCTCCTGAGCCTCTGCATGAGCTCTTTGCACAGCAGCTTTTAGATCTGCTGCAGCCTTTTCACGTTCTTCTCTTCTTTGATCTCGCTCTTCCACCAACTGTTCTTTAAGTTTAGCTATGGATGCCTTTTGACTGAAAGCAAGTATTCAAGCCACTATCACCTTCTCTAGGTCTACAAAGCCCATCATATGCAGATCAAACAACAAAAACAAGTCCATGCCATGCCACACATAAAAAACTGTGCATGGTTACTTTGCAGAAGATAGGACATAAGAAAAGCCACCCATGCCACCCATACTAAGGGAGTAGTGGAACCCCTTTGAAAAGGCTTATAAGAGGAGGAGTAGAAAGCAAGAAAGAAGAACCATGAAGCACCGCCAAACACACGCATACAAGAAAAAGAAAAACATAAATCAAAATGCAATTCCCACTGATTGGACAGCTATGAATCCAACGTTTACACGTAATCCTCTTACCACATCTATTCCAGTCAAAAGCATCTATGGAAGAGTAAACCAGGTTAGTATAGGATAATAATTCTGGTAAGTTAGTGAAGGACAAGAAATTTGCGCATTAGTGACTTACCTATCCATAATCTCATTTGCTTCAGCACATGACTGCAGAGAAGCACTCAGCCTTTCATTAAGATCTTCAATGACATGTTTTTGTTCAGCTGATGACTTGTGCATTTCCAGAAGCTCCTTCTTTTTCGTGTCAACCATATCTTGCAACTCTTTAACCTGTTCGAGGTAGGACCTTGAAATTGATGCTTTCACCTCCTTCATTTCCTACATCATCAAAGTTTAGTTATCATGCCCATTAAAGCAGAGAAGTAAAAGATAGCAAAAAGTAGACAGAAAAGCTACCTCTACTTAAGGAACTTGTCAAATCTAGATCAAGAATTTGAAAATTTTCAAGTAACCACCTACGAGCCCAATGAAAACTCAACTGTGATAAAAAAAGCCTAATAGAGGTCAACTTGAAGGATGAGCATACATTTTCATGAAGCTCAACAGATGCACGATTCTCATCCTGTAATACATCAATTCGACAGACCTGATCTTCCAGTTGCCTCCTTAATTCCTATAGATAGCAAGTTTCAAGGTAGATCATTAATCTTCTGGCGTTTTAAGAGACAAATGCATATCGAATATTTGCATTATCAGTCACTAAAATTAAGCAAGCAAATGAACATACTGCATTTGACCGCTGCAGGCTTCGAAAATCATCAAGAGATATTGGACCTTCTAGAGAACCAATCCCGATGCCTTTAAATCTCTTGATTTCAGGGCCAATTTCCTCTGCAAAGTTTAGAGCCGTGAGCACAAAAAGTTTCAACAAAATTAATTGTGCCAAAAAATTTCAAAATAGTCTCAAAACGGCATCAATATTGACAGTTCTTTTGCCACTTAAATCATGCTCAACATGGAAGACAGCACAATTTTTTGTTGTGGAAGCACAAAAGGCAAAATCACACACAAAGGTCTCCCATCAAGAACCGAAGAACTTTTCTATTGCCTACTATTAGTCAAAATTTGAACCCTGTCCTTGCTACCACTCTTCGGATGTTATGCTTAGCAAGCTCCACTGGCATCACCCAGCAGATAATAATTTCCATGATCTGAGTAAAGTTTCATGCCAACAAAGGGAGGAAATAAAAGATTGGCAATGCCGAAGCTAAAAAAAAATCCACAGATAGATCAGCGCATAGAAGTCACAACCATGAAAACAAAAAATATCCTAATGATTTGTTCATTGTATTAGGTCATCCCTTCTTAAATCCTAAATCTAATTATGTTTTCCCATAAGAAGAGAAAAAGGGCCCATGTAACGCATATATCATACCCAATGTCATGAATATACCTCCTTTTCTTTTAGCAGATCCCCCATCCATGGTTGAAGTGCACCTGGTGACTTCTCGAAATACAAATGCATACGCAGCTTCTGCAATAAGGATAGATTGATAAGATATCCAACAATGATCTAACTTGGCAGAGAAAACACTCGGTAACTCGAATTGCTGTTCATTTATTTAACCACTCTTTGCTTGAGTTCTTATTTTCAGAAGAATTAATGGAAAAAGGACAAGAAAGAAGCCAATTCTTTATGGTTAACAACCCACGATCTTTTTTAAAAGTACCATGGGGGTATTGCCCCTAGGCCCCCCCGTTCACAAAATTACAAAGAGAGTCTTCAATGTCTAATAACCTATCCATACCGAAAAGTGATTTTTCAGTAACTCAAAAACTCTAAACCCGTAACCATCTATTCTATACATCAAAGAGATCAGACTCTTAACTCTTAAAAGCCCTCACATTTCTCTCCCTTCAAAATGGTATATGTTCCAACTAAAACCGCATTTATACAAGCCCCATTTTGAGGCTAGATGTTCAGATCGGGCACCCTTCTAAGTTTTATCATTAAAATCAAATCTCCCAACTAAAAACAACAATTGCACACCAGGCAGGTAATTTAAAAGGGTGGAAGCAACACTTGAGCATGCATCACATATAATACCCTGATGAGGAGGAGCAGCAAATGATATAATGTCTCCATGATTGATGTTGGCTTCCGGATCACTTTTCTTCAACTTTGTCCAGTTAACATATGTCCCATTAGTGCTGAACAAGGCTCAATGCACCAATCAGTAAGGAAGGAAGGTGAAAGAAAAAAGGAAAAAAAAACTGCAAGATAAGAAATACAAATTGACACGATAGGCAATACCTAGTATCTTTCAAGAAAACTGATGTCTGACCCTTAGAAGTTTCCAAAGCTTCAGTAGCGATTGTCTTCCTGTATATCATGCAATGATTCCCACTAACTGCTAAGGAGTCAATCCGAAAATGTGAATCCACTACCATTCTCCCGATTTTGTGCACAGCTGCCGTAAGAAGCACATTTGAGCCCTAAATTCAAATCTCCACGGTGTTAGGCTCACTAGCTTCAAGATATACCACTTAGAAAAAGTGCTGACGAGATTCATCAGTCAGACAAATATCTAACTGAAATATTTAGACCACGAGGCAACAGCATTAAGATTTTAATAATAGAACGACACATACTACCAGATACAATACACAACAAAGTGATACCATGTAAATGGAGCATGTGGATGCCATAAGAGTTCAAATGATTGCTTCACCTGGTTCTCAAGCTCAAGCTTGAATACAGGACAAAATGTAAAATGAGAAGTTCAGGCAGCTTAAAATGGTCTTCATTGTACAATCAGCATTTTTCTTTTTGGTCCGACTGTCTAACTTTTAGTCAGAAAGTTGTGCATGTCATCTTATTTTGATTATCTTCACATCTCCGGAAAGAGCTTTAATAAATCCACAACTCTTACTTCCAGCCCTAAGTTGATCAGTGATATGACATTATGGCCCTGTTTAGTTTATCAGCAATAAAAGCTATTGATATCTATTGTCTTTGCATCAGAAATGCTTATCCCCTTACATGCTCTTAACCGAGACACATGACAAAATTGTTTTTGCTACAAAAGTTGAAAGGAAGGCTCTTGGTCAATACTACATACAGTTCACAGATACAGAGCAGCAAATTTTAAAAGTTCTCTTCCAGATCTTTTTCCTCATATCTTCTGCCCATGACGATCTTTTGAACCACTTTACCTTAAGAGCTGTGTTTGTTCGTCGTCATCTCACATTTGACACCGGACAACAAATTTGCCGCTAAGGAACTAAACTGGGCGAACCATTTTTTAGGACAAAACTTCATAGAGTGCAACCTAGGCTAACTTTATTCTGAAAGGAACAAGGTAATATGACATTTATAAAAAAATATCACTACAAACTCAAATTCTTTCTTAATACAGGGTATCGAAAATCAATGGATGCCAATGTATCAAGAAAAGGCTGCCTTGCACATGCACATCAGTTAAAATATCCTCGGTAATCATGAAGATATTTGGATATAGACATTTGCCTCAATAGGATCAATTGCAAAATATGTTTTCTCATAAATTCTATCTGCATCTCTATGTCAAACAACATCACAGCCAAGCAATAAAACAACTCAAAACCATCTTCTTGCTCCAGAACATTCAATCATGGGACGCGCCAACACAGATAACTGAGACAAGAAAGCTCAAAGCCGCCAGGAAGTCAAATGCAAGTACATCTAGACAGAACCTCTCCCTATAGTCACATTTATTAATCGATACACTTCACTGCTGAACGACCAGAAAGCTAGACTAACAGTCTGCCGAGTTACTACTAATGCCCTCCATACTCAGTAAAGAAAATCCAGTCATTTCCACGACTAAGGAATGACAAAAGCAATCCTTTCCCAGATGTTAATGACCAAACGATGATTCACTTCCTGGCAACTCAAGCATTGGGATGATCAAATTCAAAACTTGAACAGAAACAAGGACTCACATCCACCTCAAAACTCGAATCACGAGCAAAAGCTACAATTATTCCCCATATCGGAGAGCAATGTGCTACCTTTTAACCATCCACAGACATTTTTCAGGCGATCGACCTCACCATCATCCAGAACGGGGATCCAAGAGGAAAACGACAAACCTGTTGTCTCTTGCGCGCGTTATTCGAAATTGCAGTGAGCACGCCCCAGGCTCGAGGGTCACTGTTGCTCAGAGGCTGGGAGGCCAGTTTGGCGGCGACTTCCATCATGAACTCCGACGGGCCCTGGGGCCTGCTCGTCTCCTCCTCCTCCGCCTCCGCCTCCTCCTCGTCGCGCTTCGGCGCAGGATGAGGAGGAGGGCCGCGGGGGTTGCTCTGCGACACGTTGTCCCCGGGGCTCGCCGTCGTCTTCACGGCCGACGGCGACGGCGACGGCGACGGCGACGCCTCCGGTCGCTTCTCCCCTTCGATCGCCATTGGGACGTGGGAATCGAGAGTGGCGCGGGGAGAAACCCTAAATTGATTCGAGAGTGGAGCGAACGGAGCGGAAAAGAGCGCGGGAGCACGCGCCGCGCGCGTGAGCCTCCAACGAGAAATTTTGACAAAGGAGCAAATGGCTTGGAAATTGGAGAAAAAGAAATTGGATTCGGAAAATATTTTTTTTAAAAAAAATGGAAATATATTTTTTTTGTTCGCAAAGATGTTTATATATAAGTTTTCGTCGAAAGTAAAATTTTTTTTTATTAACTAATTATTTCATGCAATACAAACAATAATTTTTAATAAAATATTTATTAAACCGTTCATCTTCTGCAAACAAATAGATATAATTTAACAAGATACAAATCAACATTTGAACGCATTCAACATATTCAAAGTTCAATAAAAGGTTGCCGTACACATCGTTTTGTGTGTCTTACAAAGTAAACATTTTGGTATTCATGAGCAATTATAATGTATTTGATCGAGTAATATCTTCTTATATATGATATTTATCGGGTTATTTTTTTCTGGCCAAAATGATTGTAATTGCTCTTGGAGTACTTAAAATTTGTATCTAAGAGCATCCAAAATTTGCCCATTCTAAAGAATCGAGCATTATTCTTAACAGAACAATATTAAAGAGCGCTTTTAAGACATGGCGTCGAGATTTTTCCTCGTTGAAAACAAAAAAAATTTCCTTTCAATTATCGCGTCACACGACTTTTTTCAATTTTAGTTCACCAACGACAAATCCCTATGCATCATGAACACGAGCATGTCTTGCATATGGTAGCCCAGCTCACATTCATCGTTCAATTAAGTGGAGTTTCCAAATGCGCCTCATCTTATTCGACGGGAAAATCAGCCAACGATTATTCCATTTGAGAAACTCCAAGAACCTTATGATAATCAAATTTTGATTAGGGTGGATAAGATACCAAATTACTCGGCAACGTCTCAAAGACTGATCACCGAGATGAAGGCTAATACACCGCAAACGAAAACCACTGTGCAACCAGCACCACAGATGAGCTGCAGGCACATATCAACAAGCATCTTTACATCTTTTTGCACTTGGAATACTTCAATACATGGTTTGAAGTAGATCAATGTACTTGGAATTTTACAAGTACCATCTTCAGTATCTATCATCAGCATACAGAGATCCCTAAGCAAAAGCAGAACTGTTATAGTCCAAGTAAACAAAAATAGAAGCTAAGAACCAGAAAAACCCATCAAGAAAAGGCTATCCAGCAAGAGGATTTGCATGAATTGTGACACGATTGAGTCTGATCTCAGCAAGAGGTCTGTCCCCTGGTCCTGTTTGAGTCTGCCAAACCAAAATAAGTGAAGCACGCTTCAGTGTCCCTTGCTGGAGGAAACATGGATAAGAACATTTTGGGAACATTTTTTTTCGGCAAAAACAGCATCACTACCACTTTTCAATAAATAGTGGAGACGAGCACGTTTCACAAGAGTTTACTAGCCCGACATACCATACCCGGGGCACCATAGAAACACCCTATTTGCACAGCCGTGCTTAGTGGGAATTACCAACAGGGTGCCTAACCAATGTAATCATTTTACAATGAAAATAAGAGGACTTGCATTAAATCATCTTCGAGGGATTCGATGATAAACAGTACTATCAAGCGGTACACATACCTTTTCCATGATATCTAGGACCTCAAACCCGTGAATCACTCTGCCAAAGATGGTGTATAGTCCATTTAGATGTGGCTGTTTTGCATATGTGATGAAAAATTGACTTCCATTGGTGTTAGGCCCGCTATTAGCCATTGCGAGTATTCCCCTTGCATTGTGCTGGAAAAGAGAGACTTTGATGAATTGGAATAAGAGTAGATAAACTATGAATTGGAATAACGAGATATAAGTAGATAAACTAGGAAGTATAGATAATCTTCAGCTAATCACACGGATACAGCAAACAGGTCAGGGATAGGCCTTGATTAGGGTTTCTTCATACATAGAGTCAACCTCATGAGGAAAATAAAGAAGTTAGCTCTACTTTTACATGTTAGAGATTATTTGATGATGGTTTACAATCAGGTGTTTCTCGACTTGCCATGTAGAGGGGAGGGAGCATGATTTCACTACAGAGAATAGTTCCCCCTAAACGATAGGTGGTTACCTAAGACCAATCCAAAAAGAAAGTTGGGCATAAGCACTACTGGTAACAGTCCATTCATTCTCTAACTGAAGGAATAACCAATTCCAAGATGAAAGAGAAGCTAGTTAATGTCGAGAGCGGCAGAGCATAATCCTTCAAAATGTACAGTAACAAAAGAAAAGAGGCAATGCAAAGGCTATGGTATGGATGTTTCCAGCAAAAGATTACATGGTAAATAAATACCTTGAGAGACTCTCTTATCTCATCATTAAATTTTTTGCCCCAGATGCTTGTTCCACCTTTGCCGGTTCCAGTTGGGTCGCCACCTTGAATCATAAAACCCTTGATATTTCGGTGAAATATGGTGCTGTCATAATAACCGCTGGCACACAGTGCCAAAAAGTTCTGCAAGCAAACATTTTCTTTTTCTTAACAGAACAAATGCACAATCTGAGACAGAGAAACTAAAGGCAGAAATTACCAATGCAATAATTACCCAATAGTCGCACTATATTTTGAACATAAAAAGCCCTGATTAAATCTATCTTCTTGAAAATCTAAACTTCATCTTGATAACTGAACTAGTTTGCTCAAGATAATGTAAGGGCTACTGCATGCTTCGAACTCAGTTTCTAAATCAACAGCCAATAGCAAGGGACAAAACTACGATTATTTGGGCATTTTTGCCACTTTCCTCTTGAGAACAATATTATTCTCTCAACTTTAGCCAGATCGGAAGATAATTAGATAATAAGCACTAACAAGAAATTCACATCATGGCACTAATCAGCTGGGTATCCAAAAGCTGGTGAAAACAGACTTCTAAGTGGGAAAAGAATGATGTGCACCTTCAGACTGAAGCCTTTAGGTTTGACAAGTATACATCATAAAAACATCATTTACGTGACTATGGTAAGGTTGTAACCCTCCTTATGTCCAATATGTACAACCGTACTCAATTAGCAGCACCACAGTCCATGTTTCAAATACAAACTACCCTCTAAGATCAGAGCCCGGTGCCGAATGAAATATGTAAATGACGCAACAACAGAGGAACATGGCTCAGTGTAGCTGAACTTTTTGGGTTGCACACATACTCATCAAGTGACAAGCCATTTCACCTCTACTTTTTAGCCTGCTTACAAACTGAATGCATAAATCCGAAAAGACATAACGATCTATGTATAAGGTTTCAATAAATGTTTAACCTACTAGTTTGAGCGATATAATACATCTGTATAGGTTTCAACAAATGTTTGTTTCATAATTATATAACTCAATAGCGGTAAATGCAACACCGAAGCGGAAGAACTGAGACCACCAGTTGTCTATGCAACAACAACCCACTGAACTCCGATCCATTTATTCTTTAAAAAGCTGGAAAATCACGAGAATGAGCAGAAGCCCTCAAACGAGTAGCTCCATAGAGAAACTGCTCAAAGTTTCGAATGACAAATTTCAGCCCTCTTAACTCACTCTCAGGAAGTTAAATAATAAACGGAGAATTTCAACACATTGTATAAAGGTCAGCAATCACGAGAAACCTCCACAACACAATCAAATTCCCCCGACCACCCAGATCATCATCCAAGCTCCCTTGGACCCAGTAACCTCTCAACTCACGTCTCAACCTCTCCAATAGCAAATTTCAATCTTGAAGTCAATCTGTAGTTGATTTACACAGCAAGCCTAAAACTTGCACGCTCGACCAGTACGACTGACGAACAATTTGAAACATCCACACACACAGCGCGCACCTGATCAACTCCCAAAAGAGCGCATAAACCGCCATTCTTAACCCTTTTTTTTTCCACACTTCTCCTTTGCGTAACACGACAAGGAACGCGGAGACGACGACAGGGAAGGAAAAAAGCCACTGACCTCGGCGGCTTTGGGGACCTCGTCGCAGAAGATCTCGCACTTGACGTCGCCGAGATTCGTGTGCAGAGTGACGGACTGCGACAGTAGCAAAGATGGGTATGAGAGGAGAGGGAACAAAACGAGTGCAGGGCAAGTGTTCGATGAAATTACCCCGAGGAAAGAACTCACCATCTCGACTGCCTCGGCTGCCGCAGCGACGGAGGGAGGGGATCGTTTCTCTCGCTTCAATGAACTGAGCTTTCACCGGCGAGTCGTCGAGCAAACGAACGGCGTCTTGCTCCGGACGGGATTCTTCTGGAGAGCGCTGCTTCGTTTTTTGGGCAAAATGATCTTTCGCCCCTCTTAAAATAAATGAAAATAATGCCCCGTGATATTTATAATTTTGACCGAAATTCACAATCATTCGCCTATTTTTTTTTTTGGGATAAGTGCATTGAAAGCCCTAAAACATGTTATCAAAATGTAATTGAATCCTAAAACTTTCAAAAAATGTAATTAAGTCTTAAAACTTGTCACGAAAGTGCAATTAAGTCCTAAAACTTTCAAAAAGTGCAATTAAGTCCTAAAACTTGTCAAGTTAGTCCAATTAAGTTCTTCTTTTGATTGCACTTTTTAAAAGTTTTAGGACTCAATTGCACTTTCACAACAAGTTTTAGGACTCGATTGCACTTTCATGACAAGTTTTAGGACTTGATTGCACTTTCATGACAAGTTTTAAGACTTGATTGCACTTTCGTGACAAGTTTTAGGACTTCTAATGCGCTTATTCCTTTTTTTTTTTTTCTTTTTGTTCAAAATAATCAAATTATTTTTTTTCGGAAAACTCTTTTAATTTTGTCTATCAATACCCGATTTCTGTCATCGGAATGTCCACGTGGCCGACCGAGTGATGAGCTGGATGACCGTAAACTACGTGCCGCATTTTCACTTGTCGGCGTAGTCTTGATATGGCTTATGTGTCGCCGAGCAGGCATCTCATTAATTATCCGAAAAAATCGAGGGAGAGAGAATGCAAGCTCCATGGAAAATAAAAGATCGAGGGATATTTCTCGGGACGGAATAAAAATATGATGGGATTTTGAATTTCTCATTTAATATTTGATAAGGTCCGGACAGAACATGGATTTCATATAAAATATAATCCAAACGAGTGTTCGGTATCCATCGGCAAAGCCGAACTAGACATTAAAGAAGATATCCTCCGAGCATTGGATTCACGACCTCAATGCCCAGGTTCGCCACGACCACCTCCGCCGTCCCGAAACGATGTGCACGCCGTCCCGCGCTCTCTACTCCTGCTCGTATCGTGTCGTGGCCACGCTCGTCCCTCTCTTTCTCAGCCTCGCACCTCTCTCTCGGCGCTCACTTTCTCGAACGCGCCCTCGTCCGTCCTCCCTGCTTGCCTTGGTGTCGCCGCCGTCAAGGCCGACTGGAGATGGGGTTAGATCAAGCACGAGCCTCCGATCTCGACTCGTCCATGCTCGATCCTTGCTCTCGGGGTCCACCTTAGCTTTGTTAGTAGCACTCGAGGTCGACTTGGAGATGAGGTGTGGCGTGTTGCTTTTTCTATGAGGTTGGTTTTGGAATTTGCTCGCTCGAATTGCACGGCGACGGGACGCCCCCCGTGACCTGCACATGGTTCACCGGATGATCTCGATTCGTACGTCTCCCTTGATGATTGTCACGTAGAGCAAATCACGGTTGCTGAATAATCCAATCAGTTTAACGTCCTTGTGGGCCGGGACAAATGCGCCGGGGAATTTGCGCGCTCGCCGGCGTCGGGGACGCGATACATAAAGATGCCCCGCCGTGGGGGGGCACGAATCGGAGATGCGGTGTCTCCGATAACAGCGGGTCGCGCGTGGGGGCCCGTCTTTTGAAAAAAAGGAAACGAAAATAAAGGAAGAGCTAAATTAATTGAGGTTCATATTTAAAAAAAAAAAAAAAGAAGGCAAGATAAAAGACGATGCATGAGCCAGGCCCATGATGACCCTTAAAGGCTTTGCCCATAGAATAGATAAAACAAAGCTAAACTCTTAAGAGTCCAATGTCATGGTATGAGTTTGGCCCAAAGAGCCCTAGCCTCTACTCGACTCGAGGTTAATCCCGCTCGATTTTTTTTTGTCTTCGGGTTCGAGCTCGCTCGACACTATCGATAAAATCGAGCCCGATTGGAATCGGTTATCAAAGAGTAATTTCATTTGAGCCCGAGCTCGAACCGGTCGATTCAGATCGGCGCACGATCACGGCCTCGGGCTAGAAACTTGAAACTTAACGATACTGACTTTCAAGTATATATATATGCGGGTTGATAGCATTCTCGCGAGGTACTCAACCTAACAATTTCCAATCTCAATACTCTCGACTCGATCTCGGATGGTTGGAAAAGTCGTTTCCCCCCCTAATATTCAATTTTGATTCTTCCTATTAATACTAGCCAAGCACCAATTATAGCTGGAAATGTATATTTATCATTTATCGAATCTTCTGTAAATCTACTCGTGACCAATTTTTTGAAGTCATTTTAGATATGTCACCCCAAATTCCCACTCAATTTTGCATTTCGGTCCATGAGCGTGTGCTTCTGAAGAGAAAGAGCATCAGGAAATGACTTTAAAAATGCACTAAAAAAGGAGGAAATCCTTGAAATTTCTTAAGACTTTGCTTTCGTGCAACCACCAATCGGCGGATACTTTCTTTGACTAATTTTATACGTGTTTCATAGCTAAAGATCGACCTCCCGATCCAATCAAAACCACGTCATTCCACGTCTAAATTTATGCTATTAGCTATTTTCAGCTTGCGAAAAAGAGGTAATAATAAAACTATTATTATTGTTATGGTACAGTCGAACCTTTCTCTATAATGAATTCTTCTTATAAACACGACCATTCTTGAGAGAGAGAGAGAGAGAGTTCTATTACGTAAATAGCTGTTAAGTATGGACCTTTTCATATGTCTTCGTTTTCGTGACGGAAATCTAATGGCTGTTTGGATGACTATGCGTGGCCGAAACATTCGAAAGACAATGTCTAATCGTCACGACGCAAATTTTGAGGACCCAATATGAGTATCCAAATGTTACAGATCGGTATTATTGTACTCTCTTTGCATTACTCATCATATCGAGTCACATGAAAACGATATCGTTTGGCTTCTAATAGAACAATATAGGTCCTTCCCTTTACGTGATAGTTCGTTATTGGTGTAGCAGTTGCTTACACGAAACACCTTACTTACGAAATTTGCCTATTAGTTTCGATTCAATTTTTCACGATGGACGATCATAGCTCATCGAGACAGGTGATTGGAGTCCAGGACTTTCAATCTGTCCAATGACGTGAACCTAACCGTCGCCCCTACGATGAAAATCAAGAGATCATTAATTTCACAAAACTAATGTTACTAAGAATGAACGTGTCGAAAATGAAACAAAATAAGTACATTCCTGCCCTTTTGGGATAATCGCAAATTTTTAGTTACTTGTATCGTTTCGATTTCACGATGGTCAATCATATTTCGTGGGACAAGATGATATGAATATTGATAATTTTTTAAATTATTTTCTGACCAATTTTTCTATGCCGGAGATGATGTCATGCCCATGACGTGCGGTTGAAGATGTTTACTGAAAAACTTGAATGTGACGTCAAAATTGAATTGTTTTGGTTGATTTACGGAAAAAAATTCTTGACTTTCTATTCAATGATCTAGTTCCAATGGTTTTGTTCATTTTTCTCCCTATTTTTATCCATTTTTTTTCTCTAATTAGGGCATGCATTCGAGAAGATGGCCCGCTATGTGGATGGCCACGTGGTAATTTAAACGGTCATTATGGATGGAAGGTACTTTTTGTGGTGTCCCCGGCACGTCCCTTCCTATGAGTCACTATAACCTTGCGCGCGTAAAAGAATTCGCCTGCGGAAGTCGCTTCTCAATAAGAACAATATTTATAGCATGAATTATCAATAAGGAAAGTCCACTACTATAAAGGTGACACAGAACTTATCTTCAAGCTTCATTATTTATCAACGTAAGGTGATACATAGGTGAGTTGGAGGTTAACAGTAGGTCTACTTCCTACTTGGTCTATTTTCATGTACCCACCACTCTTGTTAGTCAAAATGGATCACCCTCCACACAACTCTGTCCAAAATATCAGTCGTGCTAAAAAATGGTACTTCCCTGCTCCTCCCTCTCCAAGTCACTCCACTTCGCTGTCCCCATCGTCAGTTCCATCCCCGTCGAAGTAGGGTAATGGTCCTATCAATCGTCCGCCTACTCGGGCAAAAACCGCTACAAACTCCATGAGAATAGGGTCCACTGAGGACCCGATGTCGACAATCAAAATAGAGATGCATCTCACGAACACCACATGTGGAATATTTGGGTCCTGGAACTACATCAGATAAGCCGAGAAATCTATAGGGACACCATAGCTAATAGAGGATGAGGTAGGGGAAGATCGGCATCTCAACAAGTCTGAAAAAGTTTAACCACTACAAGAATGAGCAATAACTCAGCAGTGAAATGTCTATCACCCTATACCAAACAAGAATAGCATGCATATCAACAGGCATAGGTATGAGAGTCTTCTATCTGGACTTACAAATCAAACAAGATATACTCTATTGTTCCACATTAGTAATTATCTCAAGTGTGATACTTTAACTCGGTAATCACAATCATCCGTACGATTGAAACATGCACACACAATTTCACGCTTGCATGGGTATCACTTCCTCACTCCAAGTCACATGCCCGGTGCGCTCGCCGGTCATGCAAGGAGGAACACTCCGGTCTGACAGGGTTCGGTGCGCACTCCGATTTGCCGCGGTGTATGCCGGAATTCTCTACGACCCGCACAGACTTCGTGATCCACTGACCACGACATCCCGATCAAACTCCCGGGGCATCTAGGGCATTCTCATCCTAGACATCGTAGTCCACTGACCACGGCATCCCGCATTCCCTACGGCTCCTCGGGGTATCGTCGGTCCATAAACTGACGCCATTCAATAACCCAGCGAGCCACACATAATCATTTCATGCAGCCCACGGCTTATCGACAATGCTCATTCTTTCTCAATATCATATCAGGACTATTAATACCTCATTGGAAGCTCATAATGTATAGATTTTATCTCCAGAAGGCATCGAATCAAAATTCCAACGTTCTCATATAGGAAATGATGAATCTTTGCAATCTGACAAAACTGGGCAGTTTAGTACTGTTCAAGAAATCCGATTTAAAAACATAGTAAATGG